TACAAGACATCAACGTGATGTTAGAACGACGTTGTACCCCAACGTTGTCGGAAAGTTGCATTTTGTTTGGAAATAAAAATCAAGTTGACTTCAGAACTCCACGTCAGACCGACGACGTCAGTGGCCAACGTCCAAACTTAAAGCAACCAAATATCTAATCATTGTTATTATCAATATCTATCAACATCCAATGATGTTACAGCTTGACGTTGTGTGGACGTTACCAATGTGACGTCTATCAGATGTTGGATTTCAAGAGTTCACACTTAGCTGATGATTAATAATAAAGCTAGTTTGGCATGCTGTCCTGGGAGAGAGCCCTGAGCTTATAAGATCCTCGAGCCCTTGGCTCCCTCCCGTTGCAAGGCGAGAGGGGAGTTTGAGCTCAGGTAGATCTCGATGACTCTCCGCTCCTCCTGCTTATTGTAGCTAAGTGTCAGCTATGGATGCTGAGAAGGTGTACTCGGAGCTTGGCTAAAATATTTTGGATTATTTGTTTAGGGTGCTTGTTTTTGAACTGTGAGAGGACCCGGGGAAAACCCACGCGATCACAGGGAGAACGAGCAAAACTCCGCACAGAAATGTCGCCTGGTTTGGAAAGGAATTAAACCAGGGGCATTCTCGCTGTGAGGCAACAGCGCTAATCGCCGGCCACCGTGACGCCCGTTTGAAAGGAGGAAAAGTAGGGTTGGGGTGGGGGGGTTTCTTCAAAGATATTGAGATGAGTAAAGTCTGGTTATTTATAGTGAGTTAAGGATCGTCCGATAGGATAATTAGTCATTAGCTAAAGTTGGAACAGCTGTGAACAATCATTAGCACGTGATCCTCTCGAAATTTTTTATAAATAAACTTCACTTTGGTTGCCATACCTGATGAATAATTGTCAGCATTTCATGTCAATATGACGTTGGTTTAAGATGTTGGCTCGACGTTGGATTTTGGTCACTTTCTAATACAACCTAAAATCAACCAAATATCAACATTTCGTCATTTAAACATCGATATTGAGCATCAAAATAATGTTGTCCTTAGATGCTGACTAGGTACTGATTTTCGGTCACCTGACATCACAACCTAAATTTAACCTAATATTAAGGTCTTCTGACATTGTGCGCCTGCTGGGCATAATATTATAAACAGATACGTTTACTCTATTTGCACTACATTTTTGGCAAGTAATGGTACTTTTACTTGAGTATGATTTTTTCAGTACTCTTTCCACCACTGGTCGCTGCTTGAAATTGGTACTCTGGGTCATTCTAAACCCTGGATAAACAGAATCCTGTGTTATCTGTAATCACATTCATTAAATAAAATACATTATATACATAATACCCCAGTTTGTCACGGGGGCATGAATGAAATGTTCATGAGTTATAGTGAAACTGCCGAACTGCAGTTAAAGTCAGGCCTCCTGCTGATTTGATTCCGAAGGGCTGAGACGGCTCAGGTATACATCCACGCTAAGATAACAAGGTGAAAGTCACCATAGCTTGCGTAGAATAGACCCAGCTCCCAACCCAACTTTGAGAATAGATTAACGGTGATATTTGTTATTGCGTGGTACGAGTCTCGCGTTAACGCAGCATGTTAACGGCCCCCCACCAATTACAATATACAATTTATTTACTGTTGTTGAGTCATGGCCTGTGGAGAGTATGCTAATGAGCTTCTCCCTACACTGTCTTTGCTTTCATATTCAGCTGGTTTTGGGGTTTGGTGTTTCACTCATGTTTGACAATGCTTTGCTCAGGGTGTAGAAAGGAAAGAGTTGCAAACTGTTGATCTGAGACGATGGCTTTTAGGCCCCATTTACACTAATGCGTTTTCGTTTTAAAATGCATGTTTTGCTACGGTTACGCCATCCGTCCACACTACGCCGAAGTTCTTGAGCGACGAAAGCGGAGCGTTTTGAAAACGCTGGAGAGGCCGTTTTCATTCTGAAACGCTGCTGCTCTGTCTTAGTGTGAATGAGGAAAAACGGAGACATCTGAAAACGGAGGCGGGGCTGCTGAGATTCGCTACCTGATTGGGGCTTTTGTGTCATTGCGTAGCCTTCCCTTATTCGTCAAGCCCCTATCACATGACTATAACACATGGCTTTAACGCAACCGGAAGACAGTACGTTGTTTGCATTATTGTCTGTTTTAGGCGCCATTGTGCAGTTATTAATTTGTTACGTTTAGTAACAACTCGACCTCGTCGTCTGTCCACAAAAATACCTCTCTTGCTTTCTTTGCCATCGTGTTTAATGTTCAACCGGCGTTTGTTGACTAACAATAACCAAACTGCGAGCAAGACGCATGCTTTGAGTGCGCGAATGGTCACGTGATATACGTTTTTGGTGGCGTAGTGTCGACGGAGATATGTTCAGAGATGCTAGGTAAAACGCTAGTGTGGACGCGGATCGTTTTTGATCTAAAACGCCGTCTTAAAACTAAAACGCACTTGTGTAAACGGGGCCTTACTCTGCGTCCCTTGGTGCGTAACCTCATTGTTGCTCAGCAGTGCATACGTTACAGCTAAGTTTCTCTATAGAGTATGTAATTGTGTTTAAATATACAGACTGTAGAATGAAACATGTAACTTGATAAACAACTGTGCCTGCTTTAAGGCAATGCGATTATTTCTCTTTATAAATGATGATAACTTTAATGAAGTCAGATTAATTACAATGGAGTCAGTGAATGATTGATTTAAACACGTCATCCTTCAACAGCTTTCTGTTTCCGATTATTGGTTCAGAATAGCAGCGTAAGCTTCAAGCCTTACAGAATAAATTTTGGGGTTAAAAGTTGTAAGAATTGAGATATTACAAATATTCTGATGTCTTTGACAGTTCAAACATGAGCCGAAAACAGAGACAATTGACTCCACAACCCAGCAGGTGGGAATGCGGGAAAGAACCAGCTCCCCCTACATTTACATTTGAATCCCCTGTAACTCGACTTCAACCACCCTAACTCACACATTATTGTCATTTTAAAGTCTGAATGTTCTAAATCAACCCAAGTGATATATCTATCATGTTTAATATCATTTGAAATGTCTCAGTGCGACTGGTACAATGGTCTCTTTCCCTCATAAATAGGCATAATCAAAACAATAACTATATAACTTCATGTATCTTTTGAACCACTGTGAAGGGTGTGCCTTTCCTATAGGCAGCACTAAATGCAAATGCCCTTTGTTATTTACACACCCTATTCCTTGAGGGGATTCTTGGATTACTTAAGGGAAGGTTTGAAAAATGTTTGGGGCGATTCTGCTTACTCTGATCAGCCCGTAACATGGAGTTTACGCTTCATGTTATGTATATTTTGAAGTCAGGTATCTTTTAATCTTGGATTTATCTTTGATAATTTGATGTTTTGTATTGATTGTTTATGAATTGACTGAATGAATTGGCATAATACATATTTACCTGACTAATAAATTGTAATGTTTTGAATTATTCAAACAGAGTTTGTCTTATTATGCTTTAAGTCCATAGCACCACAAGCCTCTGTAAAAGTTAGTAACAGACTAAAACACGTTAGGTGGAGCAGTGTGGCACAATGTCCTTAGAGATCTGACTAACATATTGGCATTAATTCATGTATACTTATGCTGTGTTCACACTAGACGCGGAATGCGCGGATAAATCGCGCTATTCGCGCGTAAATAGCCACGTGAACATTTGAGTTTACTCGCTTCATTCGCGTGTCAAACCCTGCTTCATTCGAGTGTCAAATTCACTTCAGAACAGACGTGGATTCGCGTGATGGGCAGGGCTTCTGTCTGCCCGAAGACTCTAGCTTCATAGCTAAATGGCTAACATGGATTTTATGCAGAAAATAAGTGTTTATGTACTTTATGAAGACTGAAAAACAGCGTCGATACGTTTAGGGTCGTGTCTGAGTCCACTACATCCTTTCAGAGGTGCATCCAGCTCTGTGAGCTCATAAACTCCTCCAGAAACTGAACCTGGATGACAGAGGCTTTCTGCGGTGCTTCTGACTGAGCCAAGCAGAGTTTGATGAACTGTTGTCGGTGAAGGCTGAAGGATTTCTCTCGGAACACCGACAACAGGTTCTACGTCACAATCACGCCCCCACAAGAGCAAGCTTCTGATTGGTTAACGCAGCGCGATTGTACGCTGAAGTTCAGATTTTCGAATTCGAGAGATTCGCACGAAACGCTCGTTAAGTGTGTTAAACAAGCAAAACGCTCAATTTGCGTCATTCGCGGCGCGCCATTCGCGCGTATAGCGCCGCAGGATGTCTATTCGCGCGTTTGCATTGACTTAACATGTAAATCACTCGCGCTTGACGCGCGTGCCGCGTCTGGTGTGAACGCAGCATTAGACTGTAAAAGGCCAATAACGGGTTTTCTCTTTAGAACAACAAAATATTGTTGAGACTAATCTGAATGTGGTTAAGTTAGGCCTTCATCTACAAGCTTATGACTAAAATAGTTTGTCTTGATTCAATAGATAGCAGATCTATGGGGACCACATAAAATATCCTAAATTAAGTAAGTAGGGTTCTGCCTTTTTAGGAGAGTGGTTAATCGCCTCTGTTTATTGATCAAGACTGACAAGCTTGTGTTTAAGAGATTGTATACTCGGCCGGTACAAGACTCAGGATGCTAAAGGAATCTGAATAAATGAGAATAATGAATAATAACAAATCGAAAAGAATATTTAATCATAATCTAAAATAATATTAAAAGAAACTAAATAATCTTATCAATGTTTTATAATTGGAGTCAGATAAAACGAAGATAAATATATTAAAGTTCTAAACCACCTCATACTAAAATAGGAGTCAGATGAGTTAAGTTTAATGTAAATCAACATTGTGCACTGGAAAGACCGAACATGCAGTGAACCTTCATCCACCAGTGGATACCGTCATTGGACCAACTGGCTGGACCCTACAATGTCCATTTCATGCTTGTCGCTTTGTCCCTTTATACTAAAGTTAACCTCTGTTTTTTTTTTTTGTTTTGTTTTTAAGACCTGATGGTGCCGAAAGAAGAGACTCATGAACTGAATGAAAGGATAGAGAAACACCAAGACATAACGACTGCTGAAATACCCCCACTGACTAAGAAGAAACGCGGAAGACCTCGGAAGTCCAAATCCGAGTGTATTTTCACTTGTCATCAATGCGGAACCACTTTCAATCGAAAACACAACCTTAAAGTCCACATGAGAGTTCACACGGGGGAGAAACCTTACACCTGTGAGCAGTGCGGGAAGAGTTTTGCCAAAGCTCACGTGTTTAATGGCCACATGAAAATTCACACTGGAGAGAGGCCGCACACATGCCAACATTGTGGGAAAGGCTTCTATCGCACAGGGAACTTTGCAATTCACATGAGACTTCACACTGGGGAGAAGCCTTACGTATGCACAGAGTGCAGTAGAGGTTTCATATGCAAGAGCACACTCAAATACCACATGATAAGTCACGCCAAAAAGAAGCCGTTTCCATGCGAGCAGTGTGGAAAGAGCTTCACAACCAAATCTAGCTTCATGAACCACATGAATTATCACACTGGAACCATAGTGTTTACATGTGATCAGTGCGGAAAGAGTCTCGCACGCAAAGACTCCATTAAGCAACACATGAAGAATCACTCAAGAGAGCAACGATTTAGATGCAGTGAGTGTGGAAAGGACTTTAAACATAAACGAAGCCTCGGCACCCACATGAAGCTTCACAATGGAGAGCAGAGTCCTCAAAATTGAGGCCTTGTCGACACAAACACAGGTAAATTCAAAGCGGTAGCTTGTTCGTGTCCTTTGGCTGTTCATTCACAAAGTTACTGAAAATGAAAGGGGGGAATGAATGAGGGGGAAGATTTTAGTAACTGTTTAATAGTGTAGATCAGGGCTCCCAGCCCAGTACCAGGTTGTGAGAGTTGCTACTGGGCTGCAAGAGCACATAATAACCCTATATGTGCTCTATAATAACTTTATTAGTGATGGGAAGTTCGGATCATTTTACTGACTCGGATCTGTGAGTCTCGTTCATCAAGATGAACGAATCTTTTTTCAAGTAATTTCGTTCATTTGGTTCAATTTGCCAAAATATTATTAAAATAACACATCTACAACTAGCCCAAAAGATTGCACGACAAATAAGTCATGAATAGAATATAAGAAGGAGAAAACAATCATTCAATGTTTACCTGCTCTTTTGTCTATAAAGGCATTGTTGTCTCTTTGCTCAGCTCACCTCTTCATGTCTTCTAATGTCAGGGGTTCATTCACGTTACACTGACAGTCACATATAATCTTAATCAATGCACAGTCTAATTAGCTGATAGGAGCCATGATCGTCTGTTCATCACCTGAGAGAATGACTCAAACCCGAGGACTCCAGAGATGAAAGGTTCAATTCTTTTTCCGGCTCTAAACGCGTATGATTGGCCCGTGATGAACGAGTGTCTCAGACTCGATAGAGGACTTGAGAGGTGAGCGGATCAATTCTTTTTCCGACTCTAAACGCGTATGATTGGCTTCTGCCAATGTGATGAAGACTTGAAATTAACGATATCTGCACAAATGTGCGCACGTGCGAATGAACAAAACGCTCCCTGAGAGGACTCATAGTTCCCGAGTCATTTCGTTCAAAATGAACGAATCGTTCATGAACGACCCATCACTAAACTTTATTATGAACCGATAACCATATTTCCGCACACTTGCGAATTGTTTATTGATTTGCCAGTCAAATGGTCGACACTGAAAAGAAAAAAGATTAGGGGGAGGAAATATTCGGGGAGATGCAGGGAACAATTAAGGATTGTTAGTTAAGGACAGGTCCAGATATTTAGCATAACAAATAATCACGAGCCTCAGCAACAAGTCACCTACACTCTTAAGGCTCGTACACATCGGGATGCTTTTCATTTGAGCTTATCGTCAGTGTTTTTTCAAGACGTTTTTCCGGATTCAAACCCAAGCGATTTTCACTGGCGAGTATGCAGACTCACTCCTTGATGTTAGATGGTGCTACACAACTTTAAGCTTCTGACACCCGCTTGTAACACAGAAGACAAAGTTAACACGATTGTTGATATGGATGGTTCAAGTAGCAGCTCCAGCTCTAGCGATGAAGAAATTATTATTGTACACAGAGCAGTAAGCAGCTCCACGTTCATATCGCCTCTGGGCATCTTTTTCAATGTGCGCTCGCATTGACTGTCTTGCGCTTGAGCGCCTCCAAGTGCTGTTTACTGTAACTTCAGCAGCTCCGTGCACGTGAACAAAAGTGCCAACCTGATTGGTGGAGGAGGTTTTGAGGCGGCGCATCAAAACAAAAAAGACGAGCATGAGGGGGTATTTTAAAAATGACTCTTACACCTGCGCGTTGGTGTGCACAATGACATTGACGCCCTTTATTTAATCACGAGGCGGAAAATGTTGACGATAAACCCGAGCAAAAAAAACGTCTCGGTGTGCACGGGTCTTAAGATTGTGTTTTTGATCATTCACATTGTTTGATCATGTAAACAAGCATCGATTTGCCTCCAATTTGGGGCTTTTGTCTGCAATTTCACAAAACCTGTTGGCAAATGAAACTCTGGACTAGAACTCGGGATAAAGCAATGACTGACTCCCCAAAGCCCTGTTCGGACTACACAAAGTCATTTGCCAGTTATGACATTGACTGTGTCCGGTTATGAGATTTCTCGACTGTATAAAATCTTGACGTGTTGCGGGTATCAAATAAAGAGTTTAGTATTGGAACGCTATACATTTATTTTGAATAATTTGACACAAAATTTATCATAAATGTGTATCCCAAAGAAATCATCGACTGTATTTGAGTTAATGTAAATGCTACAACCTTCATTCGCAGTTTCAAGTTGCTTTTAAACTGTGTTTTTTTAATCTTTACCATAAACACCAGTGTTTGTATCTGTATTAACTGCTACCTCTGTACTTCTGTGTTGTTTGTAACTCAGAAATCATGGTTGATAAGTTTAAAAACTGAATCTTTGGATGCAATGCAGATTTGAACACACTGCGGAGATCGTCAGAGGAGTTAATAAACATTATGACTGATATAATTATGATTGTGTGGATTTTTGAATTGAGATCCCTTTTTCTTTTTTTACAATGAATTCTGCTATGTCGAATGCATTAATGAAAAATCAAGTAAAACCCTGCTGAAAAATCCAGCTTAAACCAGCCTAGGCTGGTTTTAGCTGGTTGACCAGGCTGGTTTTAGAGGGGTTTTGGCCATTTCCAGGCTGGTTGGCCAAAACCCCTCTAAAGATGCACCGTCTATCCAATGGCAGGTGACCCCTAGGTAGCTGCACTGCCTTGCCTACCAGCAGTCTGCAGTTGTGGCAACATACTCAGCACTGGTCAATTTCTGGATAAGTGCCATCTTCATATTTGCAAATGCATCCTGCATTTTGAGGCACAGTGTTTTTCTAGTCTTGACAGTGCACTGAGGTTGCAGGGTTTCTATGATTTTCCTAAATGACGGTAATTCTACAATCGAAAAAGGTTGGTTTCCTTCGCATACAAAATTCATCTGCAGTTTGTCAACCACTGCTTAGGTTACCTTCAGTGCAGGGCTGGAAAAGGCATTCATGATCTTTGGATTCTTTTTAGAATGCATTTCATCAACTGTGGCGGAGCTTGATCCTCGCTTTCTTGACTTGATTCGTTCTTCATAAACCTTCAGCTTGTTTGGATGAATCCTCTGGTGAAATAATAAATTAGGTTACATTTAGTTTTATTATATATTATGACTTGAATCACCAATTAAATAGTAATTATGTTTTCGCAGGCACTTTGAACTAATGTGTGTGTTTTAAACACACAAAAAAAACACACACACACACACACACACATATATATATGTATATATATATATGTTAGCGCTGTCAAAATTAACGCGTTAGCGTATGCGATTAATTTGAAATAATTAACGCGTTAAAAAAATTAACGCAATTATCGCATTTTTTTATTTTTTTATTTTTTCCCCCTGTTGTGGCCAGGGCAGACGCCGGGCAGTTTCCCGCTGTTTTGACGTACTTTTTGGTGCCTGGCATCTTCTTATGATCTGATCGACCTCTAAAACACTCAGCAGACTGTCATGTTTTTCTGCCTCAGTAATTAACGGTGCTGTGAGCTGTCCCGCTCTGAAAGTAAGATGTTTCTTTTCTGGACAAAGCAGGCGTGTGACATAATCTGCAGCCCATTGGTTCTTTTCTTAATTGACATTGGGCTGACCCAATCACAATCTTCCATGTTGGGCTCTGTGTAATGTAGGTGTGTATTCGTCAAAATAGCCGAGAGTCCCGTCTGTTTCTAACATGCGGGTTCGCCCCGCGGGAGAGCAGGCTTTCGCGTCTGCACTCTGCAGCGGGGCACAGATCAATATATTCCTGTCTATTCTATCTAGTTACCTATTTGTCCTTATACATATACTTTTTTAAACTTTTAATCTGCACCACGGCCTCGGCAACTTCCTCCTGCTGTTTCCTTAACCTGCAAGTCTTTATTTTACAAATGAAATGAAGGGTCATTCATGTATTTTAAGATGCACTCGGTCAGAAGACAAGCGCAGGAGATATCATGACATTGTGTTTTTGATCGTCAGCATGATGTAGGCTTATAGTGACAATAATATTTATACAATATGGATATTATAATGATATTTATACATGATCAAACTAGTGTGCAACTTAAGCAACTTTTTTTTTACATTTAGTTTTGTAGTTTGGGCCCAAACAAATATTTGTTGCATTTTTTAATAGTTTAAAGAGCCCATATTATGGGTTTTTGAAAATTCCCCTCCATGTAGTGTGTAACACAGCTCTAAGTGAAGTGAAGTATCCAGCTAAGGCTTAAATCTGTAAGAATACAGTGTTTAAAACGGTTGATTCATCTATAAAAGAGTCGACTCATAGTGCTTCAAACGAGTCGCCTTGATACCGACTCATTAGGTGTTTCGCCATGACGTACGAACGAAACCAAGTTATTCACGTGCACGCGCAAACCCGGGAGATTTCAAACCTGAGGCCCCGCCCTCTGACGCAGAAACCCAGACACACACACACACCCACAAACACACGCACACAAACATGCCGGTCGATTGAAGTCACACTGCAGATGGACATTATCGATTCTCTACCCAGAGATGAAACCTCAGCATTATAACCAAGCAGTTGGAAACTTCTGCAAACTACATGCTACAAAGTATACTTCATCTGCGTTTGTTAAAGTAAGGATCAGTAAAGAGTAACTTACTAATGGACGTCAGGATGAGTTTCTTCCTCCATTTCTCAAGTGTAAGTACGTGCGATTAAAGTTGCCTCGTTGACTCTAGCTTGCAAATGTATTTAGTTGGGATTTGTTACTTGTAACCGCGTGTACTGTATCAGGTTAACTGGCTATATTCTCTTATCGCGTGCAAAGTTACGTTAAAAATGCGACGCGTGCTGTTTGTTTACGGAGCTCCGTGGTAGAGGTCTGCATTCCCGCGGCTGTCCCCGCGCCAGATTTCTGCGGCGTGGGAATAAATTTCCGAATCAATCGCGGGAGCGGTCGGTAACAGGTTTAATTTGGGACGGGAGCGGGCTGTCTAGCAATATCGTGGATATTGCTATGCGAATGAGACAGAGCTTTGCCTGCCTGTGTGTCTGCTTGGCGCTTGTGTGTATGTGTTAGTGCGCGCGTACGAGAGAGAGAGAGAGAGAGCTCTGTCTGGCTGTCTCTGTACTGTTTTGCTGGGTGATTTTCGGTTATGTTCTCCCCCGCTCTTTAGCGGGATCGGGCGCGGCGGGCAGAAAACGGGGCGGTTCGGGCACCGGGACAAGAAATTCTAAATATAAGCGGGAGCGGTCGGGTTCAGGCTAAAACCTGGCGGGTGCGGGCGGAAGCGGGAGCGTTGTCGTCCAGAGGTGTGTGTGTGTTTGTGTGGCAGCTAAAATCCACGCCTACACTATGGAGCGCGTATGAACTGTGATTACTTTTATATTGCTGATTAGCTATTGGGCATTTCATTCTCTGACTGAAGGCAGTCGACCAATCGTGACAGACAGTCATTGGTCCAATCAGCGCAGATTA